CCCCCCACACCCAGCAGAAAAGCATGGTCCCCGGGGGAGCTTTGGATGTGGTTCCGTGTAGACATCTGCTGAGCTGTGACAGCCCCCCACATGGACCTCCCACTGTCCTTCCCTGGTGCCTCCCTCACCATTCGGCCCCCACGCCCCGAATTCAAGTTGCATGCAGATCTCCGGTCTTTAGGTTTTGGAGAAAGCACTCATTATAAGGTATTAAGTGGCAAAAGCTGATTTCAAACTAAGCTCATCTCCAGGGCTGGAGTGGCAGCAAGGTAGGCATGATTATTTGTACCGCCAAGAAGTTGCCGGAAGGTTTAGGGGTAATGGCAGGTAGGAAAGTGCTTGAACACAGTGTAGGCAGGCAGTGAGGAGCTTAATGAAGAGTGGCCACACCAGGAAGGAGAACAAAGCTGCACTCTAAAACACTATAGTGGCTTTTTCTGGTGGCTAGAGGGTTTCTTATGTAGTAAGTTCCCTTTAAGAAACCTATACAATGAACATATTCTAGAATTAGGCACAGAAGAAAAGTATGGGGTTTTAAAAAAAAATTTTTTTTTAATATTAATTTTAAGAGAGAGAATGCAAGTGGGGGAGGGGTAGAGAGAGGGAGACACAGAATCCGAAGCAGGCTCCAGGTTCCGAGCTGTCAGCACAGAGCCCGATGTGGAGCTCAAACTCAATAACCGTGAGATCATGACCTGAGCCAAAGCCGGATGCTCAACCAACTGAGCTACTTAGGCGCCCTAAGAAGCTATGGTTCTTAAAGTCGGACCCCCTGGCATCAGTTTTTTTTGTGCCCTGGGCACGGTTGAGAACTGCTCAGAGGATCTGGAGCCCCAGACTCGGGAAGAGGCCGGTCAGACCCTGCACAGGGACACGTGGTCCCCTCCTCCGCTCCGTGCCGCGTAGGCTCATGCACCCAGCCCGCCAGGGGACGGGGAGGCGAGTGGCGAGACGAGGTGCAGAAGCCTTCGTTGGTTTAAAAAAAAGGGGATTCTTGCAAAGATGGTCTAAACACGTGGTTCCACGTGACAAGTGGTCACCTGTGTCCCGACTACTTTCAAAGGCCAAAGAAGCCCAGGATGACTTGGTGAAGACCAAGGAGGAGCTGCACCTGGTGATGACCGCCCCCCCGCCCCCGCCCCCCCCTGTCTACGAGCCGGTGAGCTACCACGTCCAGGACAGCCTGCAGGACGAGGGCGCAGAGCACACGGGCTACAGCGCCGAGCTCTCGAGCGAGGGCATCTTGGATGACCGCAACGAGGAGAAGCGCATCACCGAGGCCGAGAAGAACGAGCGGGTGCAGCGGCAGCTGATGGTGAGGGCAGTGGGCCGGGGGGCGCCCCTCCTCCTGTCCCCCCCCCCCCCCCCCCCCCCCCCCTGGTCGTGCCTGACCTGTGCTGCTTCACGTTGTAGACCCTGACCAACGAGCTGTCCCAGGCCAGGGACGAGAACAAGAGGACCCACAACGACATCATCCACAACGAGAACATGAGGCAAGGCCGGGACAAGTACAAGACGCTGCGTCAGATCCGGCAGGGCAACACCAAGCAGCGGATCGACGAGTTCGAGGCCATGTGAGGCCAGGACTGGGGTGGGGTGGGGCACAGGGGTGGGGCCTCACATCTGGGCTTTGTGGGGGGATCGCTGGCAGACTCCAGAGCTTGTATTTGTAGTTCTTTAAATCTAGAACCCCCACCCCCATCGAAGTCCAGTTCCTTTAAAATGAGAGTAGTTATGTCAGCGGGAATATTCTGGGGCTGGGATCAGTGGACGCTTCCCTGGTTTATTTTTCCCAATTGTATCATTGTGCCAAACAGGCCTGGTTTCATTATTACTGTTATTGAATCACCTCCTGGTCTTTGCCTACAGCAGGACTGAATTAAGGAAAGATGCCTGTAAAGTCCATGCTGGCATGTGTGATACAAGATTCCCTGTAATTAAAACCACATCGTGGCTTATATTCTGTGCCATACTTTTTTCTGTATTTGAAATTAGCTCAAGTTGATTTTTGATTTCTATGAAGGATCCATCTTTGTATATTTGTTTTTTGAGGGGTGAAAATTATCTTGAAAACCGAGTCTAAAGCACTCACACACAGTGCACACACTGATTTTTCTTCCTCCCCTCCTCCAGTTCAGGATCAACAGGGAGGACACTCCAGTCTTAGATGAACTTTTGTTTTCTTGCTTAACAGAGGGCTACCTTGTTGGACTCACACCAATTAATGATCAGCTGTCGAGAATAGTATTTATATATGTGACAATATGGGTTTGTAACATTAGTTTTACAAAGGGAAAGTTTCATTCTGTATATTTTGTTACCTTTTACAGAATAAAAGAATTACATATTAAAAACCATGCAACCATGGCAGGTGATGTGACGTGAGGGCAGTGATGAGGTTGATTAACTGCTATAATCACATCTGTGAACATGACTTTTCACTCTGCTCTCTGTGCACGTAACGGACTATGCACGGCTCGGTTTTCTGTCCGAGCTTCTTGTTTGAAACCATGCACACATGCTGTTCGGATAATTCAGGCCCCAGCTATGAAGGGACTCTTCCAACCTGGTCCGGTCTCCGTTCCCACAAGGAGAACCTGTCCTGACCTACCGCTTCCTCGAAAAGTTGTTGAAATGCCAGGTCTCGCCACGGGTGCCCTGTCACGCTCAGCTGTGTCCTTTTCCTTTCCGGGCAAGAGTCCTGTGCAGATGAACCCCGCACCACAGATTGAGAAATAAAAAGATGTGCAAGGCAAGCCGTGGCCATGGGTGTGTACTTGCGTGTCGGGGTGGGAGGGTCCTCGTCGGACTCTGCATCTGAGCGGCGCTGGGGCCATGCTCTCCAGATCTGCTGCTGCCCCTCGGGTGGACCCTGGCGCTGACCGAGCCGAAACGGGGGTCCCCTCGGCACTCCCCGGGGCAGCCGGATCTGCCTCCGCGAGGGACCTAACACCGGCCAGGGCTCTTAATGTTTCTTTCAAATGCATATGCCGTAAGTTTCACTCTTTGATAAGCACCGGGGGACAGAGGGGAGTGTTGACCATTTATTGAAATCGGACCATTTCCACACCTCAGCACAAAACCAACCCGAGACTCATGTTTATACCATCAGCCGTTGAACATAAATACACGTGGGGGTGTGGAGGAATGTTCTCGCTACAGCTGCAGCCGGCGAGTGTCCACACCCACACGTCCAGCCACCTTCTGGCATGTGGCACTCGAGACTCCCACTGCGGACTGGAACCTTGGCTTCAGTGAAGAATGAGTGTCAGGTCTGTCCACAGATTGGGGCTGGAAAGAACTTTCTGCCATTGAAGCTCTGACTGAGAGCATGAGTCCACACCGTCAGCTGCGTCTTCCTCTGCGAGGACAGTGAGGTGACAAATCAGTAATGGGGGGGTGACGAGACATGCCACCTTCCCAGCCCTTTCCTCGGCTTTATTATTTTTGAGAGCGCGAGTGGGGGGGAGAGAGCCCCAAGCAGGCTCCGTGCTGCCAGCGCAGAGCCCAGCGTGGGGCTCAAACCCACGAACCGTGAGATCGTGACCTGAGCCAAAATCAAGAGCCAGACGCTTTACCGACTGACCCACCCAGGCGCCTCACCTTGGCTTTTTAAAAAGGACAATCGAGGCACCTGGGTGGCTCAGTTAAGCATTCG